ATTTAACTAATTTTACCAATCTTACTATCATTAGAATCACAAAAACTAGTTCTACAACTTTCATTAGAAACTTACAAAACATTAACTTAATAAAAAATCAACTTTACTTAGTCAGGAATGCTGATTTTGATATTTTATATGTGTCGCTATAGATTTTATTAATACAAATTCTCGTTTATTCGTCAATTAAAAACTTTTTATAACACATCATGTGATCGGAAAATCCCTGGTTCTTTCCCTTATTCTAAGTGTAATTTGGCATGGTTCTATAAACGATAAAAATATTTTGTTTTCTAAGTTTTTCAATTTTGGGATTATTTTGAGATTATCTTGCATAGTGAATAAAAACGTATAAGTTACCCGGGCAATTGATTTACATCAACCAATCAGTCCAAAATTTTGATCATCATTCAATTACGTGTTTAAAAAATCGCGTCTGTGTAGAAAATTTTTTATACAGTAGTAATTTTTTTAATTTTATGCATTTTTTCCGGCCTGATCCCCCCAAAATTTTTTATCTTTTATAATTCTTAATAAAATGTCCGTTACGGTTGTTCCAAAAAATAATTTAGAACAACAACTTAAATGGCTGACGGAAAACAGACCAAAGCGTCGTGTGCCCTGTTCTCCGTTAGACTTACAACAGAACACGAAATGTTCACGTGTTTATTCAAACAAAGAAAATATCGACATAAATAACTCGCTTACCGGGACTTCCGAACAAAACGCAATCATTTTGGATGATGATAGCACGATCTTAAATACTGATTTTACTATAAGTACTAAAACTTATGAAGAATGGATAAATGATTTTGAGCCGTTTACCGAAGAAGAATTAAAAAGTGATTTAGAGGCATTAGGCCTTAAAGATATTATTAAAAATGTCGGTGACAAAAATAATGTTGATGCAAATGCTCAAACGTACGAAACATACGATGATTTGATTAAAGATTTCGAACCATTTACCGAAGAAGAATTAAAAAGTGATCTAGAAAATTTTGGGCTTATTATTTCACCGAGCACGTCATATGTAAAGCATAACACCGAAGTTCCAACGTTTAAGCTTGATCTTAATTTCTCTAAATTAGAGTGCATTGACATAACGCATGACTTGTGGCCAGAAAACCACCAGGATCTCGTAAATATGGGCTATGAGGAGTTGAAACAATGTTTGTCTACAGCTCAGTTTATTAAATGTAAAATTGGTGATGAATTGTGTGATTTGATTGAAAATAGTACAGGTGATGATTATCGAAAAACTCTATTACGTAAAAAAAGAGTCGATTCTTTCCAACGAATTGAGGCAATAAAAGAAAAACTAAAGTTATCAAATAGCTCAGGCGTCACACAAACACTTGTAGGGTCAAAAAGCACCTTGAATAAGTTTCATATCGCAGAAAACAGAACTACATTCTTTAAAAGCGCAAGTGATATTCATTTGAATAATAACAACAATAATGAGGTTTATTCGGTTTCTTCTGACAGATTAATATCTGGTAATAATAATGTTGTTGATTCTTCTTCACAAGAAAACGCCGATATTTTTAAGGTATTGCGTGGTAACTTTAAATTAGAAACGTTTCGACAAAATCAATTAGAGGCAATTAATGCGACATTGCAGAGAAAAGATGTTTTTGTATTGATGCCTACCGGAGGCGGAAAAAGTTTATGTTATCAACTACCAGCTGTATTGGATAACATTAGAACTAACAAAGTCACTATTGTAATTTCTCCATTATTATCGCTTATTCAAGATCAAATCCAGCGATTAAATCATCTTAAAATTCATGCATTGGAACTACAGGGTGATCATGATATAAACCGTCGAAATTTGGTGTTTCATGAATTAGAAAAATCAGCACCAACACTTGTGCTACTTTACTTGACACCAGAGATGCTAAATAGAAGTAATCGTGTCATGGATTTAATCCAATCTCTTCACCGTCGCGGGCGATTAGCACGATTTGTGATCGATGAAGCTCATTGTGTAAGTCAGTGGGGTCATGATTTTCGACCAGACTACAAAGATCTTGGACAATTGAAGGTGAAATTTCCTAATATTCCAATGATAGCACTCACAGCAACAGCAACTGCTCGAGTTAAAGAAGATGTGATCCACAATCTATCAATGAAACATTGTGAAATATTTATTCAGGGTTTTAATAGAAGCAACTTAATATATCAAGTTTGGAATAAAAGTAAAAATGTAGATACACAAATCGGTAATTTTATTCGGTCACATTATCTAAGAGAGACAGGGATTATTTATTGTACTTCAAAAGCTTCATGTGAAGATGTTGCCCAAATGCTTTGTAAGAAAGGACTAAATGCAGCATATTATCATGCTGGGTTGGATAAACGTGATCGACAAAGGATTCAAGAAGATTGGCATTCCAACAAAGTTCGAATAATCGTAGCAACCACAGCATTTGGGATGGGAATTGACAAACCAAATGTTCGTTACGTAATTCATTATTCACTTCCACAATCGTTAGAAGGATACTATCAGGAGACGGGACGTGCAGGCAGAGATGGAAAAAAATCAGTATGCATATTATTTTATACTTATACAGATAAATTTGCAATTGAAAAGTTAATTATTTCTGGAGATGGTGGTTTTCAACAAAAACAACAACAACGTGAGAATTTACGGAGAATGTTAAAATATTGCGAGAATAAATATGACTGCCGTCGGCAACAAATTTTGGCATATTTTGGTGAACTATTTAATTCAAACCAATGTCGTAAAACCTGTGATAATTGTGAAATGGCAGCCACGGCACGAATAATTGAATTTGATGCTACAGACGTAGCAAAGGTAAGCATTTAATTGTTTGATATTATGTAATATTATGTCGCGATTGTTCATTCAGGTTTAAATTAGGAGATTATACGATTGGTGGATCGGAATAAGCACGCAGACGTTACCAGTAATCAATTTATAAGTATGATGAAGACAGAGAACAGTAAAAATTTTGCCTCAATTGTTCAAAGGAAACATTTAGTACTCCCACCCGAATTTAAACCCTCAACTCTATCAAAGGATCAACTAGATAAGCTGATTAAGACAATGATACTACAGGAATTTTTATTAGAACAAAATCAACCAAACAATCAAGGATATATCACCTCTTATATAAAGGTAGGATAAAAATTTAATTACTTTTAAAATATTTGCGGGGCATTATTCATTATTTCCACGATGCTGGATAGGTTGGGATCAAGTCTAATGATTTGTTAAGGGGTAAGGAAACTATAACATTGAAGATGATATCTTGACAGGTAGGATTATGATTTTTCTATTATTAATGGATACGTATACACTTACTCACTTCATTTTAACATTGCACTAATATGCCAACTTTTCAGCTTTGTAAATATTATATTTATTTGATTAAAGTTTCGACATTATTATTTTGTCAGCATTAATAAACGTTAAAAAATATAATACCGAACCTATCATTATGTATTGTAATAAAAAAAAAATAAAATAAAAGGGATCTGACTAGTGAATGACGTTTCATCCTCTGTAAATACGGAATTCGCAATCTACATGAGGAATATTACGAAAACTGGTAAAATGTCGGGTAAACTTTTAAATAAATTGTTATATATATAAAAAATGATTAGAAGTTAACCGAATTTTATTTTCTAGGTTTAGCACAAAAAATGCAGTTTTTGATAAAAAAAATTAACAAAATTTTACTAATGAAGTTGTGGTTTACTAAGTACAGTACGTACGTAAAATGTTTGCTAATATGTGAAATGAAAATTTTAATACGTACGTACGTAATGAATAGATTTAGGAAAACACTATTGGAAAAAACCTCAAAAAAGACTATATGTCTATATGATCATTAGACTGTCAGATTCTAAGTGTTTTTTAGGGTACATTATAGCCGTTAGACTATGTACATTGGATTTGTGAATTTTAGGAAAATTGCCTTATAGAATTTTTGTTTTTTTGTATAATACAGTATCTTAGGGAGGGTCGGGTATTATGGCGCACCTAAGAGTGCTAATTCCTCAAGAAAATATATTATTTCTAAATAAACTAATATTCGACTTAATATCTATCGACAAGCCAAAAAAAAAATCCCAAAAAATTTGATATTCAGAACTTCCAAAGGTCTAAAAACTGATGTTTTTTCGTAGCTGGAAGTATTATGGCGCACCATGTATATCGATATTTACACGTATCGGTATTGTACGTACGTATTACGAACGTACAGATCTCTTTTCCGAAATTGCTCAAATAAGAAAAAAGAGAAAATTATTATAATAAATTTAACTACACCATAATAACCAATTTTTTCTCAAGTATTGATCCAAATTGATTAATTTTTGTATAATTCGATTCGTCTCAGTAAAACGAATCGAATGGTACTAAAATTGTTCGATTCTGATCCGTGGATCGCAAGATATCAAAAATGGAAGTGCACCATAACATCCCCCGCGCCATAATACCCGACCCTCCCTTATGTTATTTGATAAAAACTTATCTATTCAATAAAGTATATAGATTGTCTTAATACTAAAAAAAAATAATCAAATAATAAGTAAATAAATTTGTAAGGTAAGTAGATTTAATCAAATATTGCAAAAAAAATTTTTTGCTTAATTAAAGCTATTTAAAATTTTGTAAGTTCGTATATTGAAAGTATATTTTTTATATTAATGTTTTGGACCAAATTTTATTAGAAGCAATTCAGTCAATACAAGTATATAACACAAAGCTATTATATTAATTGTTTTTTTAAAATAAAACAACTAATAAAATCAGTATTATCAACAACTGCAATCAAGGAGTACAATGAGTAACGTGAAGTTGATCTCTAATTTAGCCAATCAAAAGTCTCCATGCTTCATCAGTAATGTCCATCAAAAATTTAGGCCGAAGTTACTCAAAATCTAATCAAACCACAGAGGCTAATTTTATCATTGTGCGAGCCTATTTCTCTAAAAACTTCCATTTTGGGAATGAAAAAGTTAAAAAGTTAATTCTGGCCAAAATTATGTAATGCGGGCCCAATCCGTGACAAATTTGGTGCGGCAGCTGGTTCAATGTTCTAATACCTGTCTAGATTAAGGATTTGTGTAATGAACTGTTTTTTTATAGGTTGTTAATAATATAGGTTGTTAAAATTTTTTTTTGTTTAGAAAATTCACCCGAAAATATTAATAATAAATTGTTTAAACACCTACTAGTATTTTCAACTACATACGTATTAGGCGTAACAATACAAAATCATGCGTATTATGAGATGGTATACGTATTTACCTGCTGATGACTCATACGATACGTAGTGCTCGGGTGAGTGACTAAGTGGATGATGATGATTTTTTTTGACTGACATGATTTTCATGAAGTTTATAGCCTAAATAATATGTTGCATAGTAATAATTATTGTAATTCATTAATGAATACTTAAGAGGTTAGTCGAGTGACGTAAGGACGTACGTACGTAGAATTACAGTGTTTCGAAATTTCTTAACTGTTAAGATTACATGTTCCTGCTTACACGGGCATAACCTATACCTGTAAATCACTTGTCAATCACCTGTAAATCACCTGTAAATCACCTAACGTTAACTCCGAAAACTCCGGACTGAAGATCCGAAAAAGTAATTTCTGGAAAGTTTGATGATTTACAAGGCTAAACCAGGGGGGTTTCGAGTGACTACATAGCAATTTTTAGTTTATTCTAGAATAAGAAATCAACATTCAAAACACTAGACCATCATTATTATTACCTTTGACAAATACTGATCATAGCGAAAATCCGAATAACCAAAGTTAAATTACCGTATGAGTTTCATAATACATCATTCGATTTTCGGATTAGCAAGCCTTATAACCTTAGATAGATCCTTTTTTTTTTTTTTTGTTTACGTACTACGTTTGATACGACAACAATTATTCTTATTACGTGATATTATAATCTTTAATGAGTATAAATCTGCAATATGTGTACATCTACTACGTATACAAAAGATATGACAAAAGAGTAATATCAGCAGTATCTCATAACCTAGTTACTATATAATAATCATAATCATGAGATTTTGATATCACTCGATTCTCATTAACGTCAATAGCAACGATAGATGTAACGGTAAACAAAAATCGAATGATAAGCAATTTTAGCATAGATTACTAGGGTTACTAGGTTACGGGAAATTTTTTTTTATTAATAGAACTGTCAGTTCATTATTATCTTATCGTTATCTGTTATAGGAAGATTTGACTATATATGTAGATTTGTTTAAAATAATAAAGTTTGTTTGAATAAATAAACATTCTTTTAAGCTTATTTTATTGTATTATATATATATATATACACGTATATTAAAATTTATATCTAGTCCAACGATAATGTATACAATGTGTACGCATAGTATATACGTACTGGTACGTACTGTATATACAGTATTTTATACTGTATAGATAAATATATTCGTTTAGTAAAATTTTTTTATTTTTTTTTGCCAAAAGCGAAAACTTTTTTTTTTTGAAATTTTAAGAAAGTAGTCACGCTTATACTGTATGATAATACCGTGGTATTAGATTTGTATAATACTATATACGTACGTACAGTACATGCTATGTAATCAAAGCCCTCGGAGTTTATTTAACGCCAAGAACAATACGTAAAAAATATACGTAAATGCATACTACGTATTAACATTACATCAGACAGATCTCCGGAACAATTTATATGCTAACGCTAATAGCAAAAGAATGTCGGGCCGATAGATCAAGAGAAAATCATCGGACTCAGCCCTTCCGAAAAATTTGATTACATCATAATAAATAGAAGACACGTGATGAATGTATAAACTATATGTCGTGTGACAATAGATCAATGATTTGCTGATGAACGTTAGAGTTACGTTAGAGTTTAGCGTAACAGCAAATTAAACAGTTAATATCGATCAAAAATGGACATTTCAATTACGTATTATCATACTGCAATCACTGCAATTACGGCAATCATTGAAATCAGGGACTACGTTCAGCAAGATTTTGCAGGTTTTTAATATAACATCCGTATACGTAATCAGCTAGCATTTGTTTTTAATATTATCGTTATGCAAAAAAGTATACATTACGTATTAATCAACAATTTGACAAACAACATAATTGACAAACTACACAACACATCAGTTTACATCGTTTACATCAGTTTACATCAGTTTGAACACAAGTAATACACTGAAGAAAAATAAATACGTAATTTTTACCGGGGGTTTAGTAGTACATTAGTAGTACATACAAAATACATACAAAACATAACGATAATATTTGAAGCATGGCAACAATTATTTTTCCGGGAGCAAGTACTACGTACAAAATAAGAATTTATAATTAATGAAAAATAAATGGTGTAATGTACGACAGGGATTTTAAAAATTTAGAAAGTAAAGTATTTAGTTGCATACGCAACAATTTTGAAATGACATCATTTGGTACCATCGATCCTTTGTCTATCCTGTCTATCCTTTGTCATCTTTGAAGAGCACAACATACGTAATCAGATAATCATTTAAGGAGTTCATTGGTTCATCACATAAAATGACAAAAAATATAGCACATAATCACACAAATAACACAAATAACACAAATAACACAAATAACACAAATAACACAAATAACACAAATAGATAACATTATGAAAAAAAAACCTCCGAATTACATATTAAAAAAACTTTACGTAGCTATGCCTTATTTTAGTAATAACTTTATATATACGTACGGATGTTACGTATACGTTACAAATAAAATGGCACGTACAAATAAAACTATATAACAATAATTTCTTGATAATGTAAAAAAAACAAATACGTTACGTAACATAACTACTTAATACGTACTACTTACCTGTTACTATGTACGTATTACATAGTACTATATGTATTATATGTACTATATGTACTATATGTACTATATGTACTATATGTACTATATACACGTACTACATTGTACTACATAAGTATATATACGTATTATGTAGTACATATGTATAATAATAGTATATACTAGTATATTCTAGTTATATGCATATGTACGGACGTCATAGAACATGTGTCGTTATTGTTCAAATTTCGGCCGGAAGACATTTCTTCGCTTTCTAAGGCCGAAGGCTAAAAACTTAAAATGTTCAGAAAGAATATATAAAAGTGAGCTTAGCGACCTGGTATTCCCCTTTGTTCAAAATGAATTGCACAGCCTGAACGAATTTTTTTGTTAAACATCTTTCATTTTATTTTCATTTTAT